CCAGGAGGCCCTGAGGGAGAGCGTCCACCCCGGTCCTCCCACCGGGGGCTTGTGCCCCATTCCTCCCTCACGTCCTTCAACTTACCCCTCCCTAGCCCCCCTTCCTGATGCCAAACAAAAGACACGTATGTTCAAAAATAGAAACTGGGTTTATTGAACAAAACGGGAGGGATGAACCTCTGGGGAGACTGGGAAAAGTAGCAGGGAGAGGGGAAAAGAGAGCATGGGAGAGGGGAGGGGGAAACCTGGGAGGAGGGAGCTGGAAGGGGGAAGCAAGGGGAAGAAGAGGGAGGGGAAGCTCAGGGCCCAGGGTTGGGGGTCTCGCCAAACCAACTTGATTTACATGCAAACCTGCTCCTGGGTTCACACATGGCCTTCGGTGGCCAGGCTGGCAGCTATCCTGCCATAGACATCCGTATTCCTCCATCTAGTGCGGAGATCATGGACATTGGGGACATCCCCCCCAAACCTGAATAAGGTCCATGATCTCCACCCTGGAGCAGGAAGGCGGGTGGCCAGCCTGGCAGCCATGTGGTGGTAGACATCTGTGTTCCTCCATCTAGTGCGGAGATCATGGACATTGCAGGCCTCCCCCCAAACCTCAGTACGGTCCATGATCTCCACTCTGGAACAGGAAGGCGCCCGCCTTTTCCAGCCCCTGTCAGGCTCCTGGGAGCTGGCAGACTGCTCCTGGGGAGCGGTGGAGGGGGGGGGGGCAGCCTACTGGGTCAGGGGCAGTGACTGCTGGCTCTGGGCTGGCAGTGTTGGAGCTGGCACAGGCACTGTGGCCAGGATCTACCCCTTTAATGTCTCCAGGGCTGGGGGAGAGGAGAGTAAGCTTTCCTGGTTGTGCCAGGGCTCTCTGGGAAGGGCTGGAGGCCCCCTATTTCAAATTAAGTGTCTACGCAGCATTTAATTCGAAATAGCTATTTCAAATTTGGTGTTACTCCTTGTATAATGAGGTTTACCAAATTCGAAATAAGGGCTCCACTATGTCAAATTTATTTCACAATAGCGGTTTGCCTGTGTAGATGCTATTGAAGTGAATTCGAAACAACGGCTGTTATTTCAAATTAACTTTGTAGTGTAGACATACCCTCAGAGTCGATCTGCGTAACACAAGGGGGTAGTTACAGGCTGACTCTAGCCAGTGACCAGACCCAAGTGCTGGAGAAGTCTGGGGTCCGCCCTGGGAGCTGGCTCCAAGTTTCATGGGTCCCTCTTTCTCTGTAAGGGGCCCAACCGAACCCCAGCTCCAACCCCCCCCCATGCACACTGGACCCAGTCAGGTCCCAGTGGGCAGGAGCCCATCACACCAGGCCCTTGGTTCTGAGTGACAAAGATGGGCCCCTCAGTCAGCACAGACAGAACATCCTCCCGCCCCAGAGGCACCCGTCCCGCGTGGGGCTGAGGCACGACAGGGCCTTGAGGCAGGAATCGAGTCACCGGCTGCTTCCCACTGAGGCACCAACATGGCTCCTGAGCCCGGAGAACCAGGC